TTGATGATCCGTGTGCGCTGTCTTCTGGAGGAGAAGGCGACGAAGACGATGACACTACGCGACAAAGTTCGTGATGACGTGGCAATCTATGTTTCCCCCGAACACTACGCAGGCAGGCCCCCTCCCCCCCCGGGCCCCCGCGTCATCTCTACCTTCTGACCGGAAATATGGCTTGTATACATTCATGATCAGTGTGCGCTGTGTTCAGGGGGAGACGATGACGAAGACGATGACACTACGCGACAAAGGCCATGATGACGTGGCAATTTCGGTGGATATGCACGTGCGTTTCCTCTCTCTCACCTTGGCCAATCAGCAGCTTACAAAGCCCGTGTCATGTCAGGTGCAGTCGTTGCAGTTGGGGTGAAAAGGATTTGAAAGGACGGACACAGACCGCTATAACCCTTGCGGACTGCCCTACAGGTCTGAACAAGCCCCGCCCATTCCTTCCACCATTTCATTCCCAGTCACAGCAAGTCGTACGACTCTCTCTCTCTCTCTCTCTCTCTCTCTCTCTCTCTCTCTCTCTCTCTCTCTCTCTCGTGCGCCTGCGTGCTCCTGCTGTCTGTAAGTGGGTGTCTCTCCCTCTGTGTGTGCGCGATGTGTGCGCGTGTATGCGTATGTTCGTTAGTTCGTGCGTGTGTGCGTGCGTGTGTGTGTGTGTGTGTGTGTGTGTGTGTGTGTGCGCGCGCGCGCACGTGCGTGTGCGTTGGGGCTCACTCGCATGTCCAGCGGTACCCAACCTTCTTTCCCTCGCTGCTACCTTCGAATCGGACGAGAAAGAGAAGTCGAGGGGCTGTGACAAACTGTTTATATATATGTGTATATATATCGTCGCCGCTAAAGAGGTTCTGAACAGGGGGAGTTGTAAGTAAGAAGAATAAAAAACGAATTCATATCTTTTTTGTTTTTTTTTTCGCTTTTGCGCTCTGATAACTCTGTGACGATAACAATGGTGATGGTGATGGTGATGCTGATGCTGATGCTGATGCTGATGCTGATCCTGACGATAATAGTGATGGTGATGGTGATGGTGACGACGATGCTGATGGTGATGGTGATGGTGATGGTGATGGTGATGGTGACGACGATGACGATGACGATGGTGAGGGTGAGGGTGATGGTGATTGAGATCGAGACGATGGCAATGATGGCGATGATGGTGATGAGATAATGGTGATGGTCACGTTGATGCTGATGACGGCGATAATGGCGATAATGGTGATGATGGTGATGATGGTGATGACATGATGGTGACAATGATGGTGATGACGGTGATAATGACGACGACGATGACAAACAATTATCAAGATCATTCTCTCGACATAACGTCAACACAAAATCAAGAAGAAGCATAGTGTACAAACGACTTTCAGACCTCGCTCTCTCAACACAAAATGAGCATGCATAGTAGTGCAACTGTCTCCTGGAGTGCAATATCTCGTCGAACGCCCCGCTAGCATCATGGATTCTATCCGCCTTTACCATTGTATATAGATTGCACATAGATAATGCATCAGCACTGTCGTTCAGAAAGCGATAAATTCTATACATAGCTCTTCTGATAAGAGGCAACATCCATTCAATCCAGGTTATAAGTGTCCTGGTACAGTGCTCAAGGAGACGGCCAACCTTAAAAATACAAAATCAGAAAAGGGTCATTATGGGGATAGTATAGCAAGCAGAAGACAAACCTTCACTGCACGACAGCCGACGGGAGAGAGTGAAGAGCACAGAAAGACGAAGAGACGGAGGAGAGAGAGACGGGGAGGGACGACAAGAGCCGGCAAGGAACCACGTCTTCGGTGAATGAATGAAAAGCACCGTGAACGAAAAGCACCGCACAAGTCACGAAAAGAACGGAAAAACAGCGCACCAGCCACGAGAAAAACTACGGTCAACCAAATACAAACCCCACCTGTTTCCCGTCTGCATAAGATATCCAAACATGCAGGAGGCGGCAAAGTCGCATGCCACGGAGTCTTCCGCCAGGACCAGAAAGGAAAAAAAAAAAAAAATCATGATGGCACCAGAAAAAAAGGGGAAAAAAAGCAAAATGATGATGGCACCAGACTGCGGCCGATGCTGCAAGGTCTACGACTTCGTTCATCAACTTACACCACCACCACCAACAACAACAACGACAACAACGACAACAACGACACCAACGAGAACAACGACAACAAATCGGAAGATACATAGGGTAATAAGACGAAGAGACGTAAATTTACAACTGTTGGACAAATACATAAACGTTCTCGTCGGCATCAAAGAAAAAAGAAACAACGGCGGATGCGGCATGTTTTCAAACTCTGAAGGCACAAAAAACACGCGTCGGCAAAGAAAGCACGCTCTAACTCGAAATAAGCGATCACGGTCCAAAAGTAACCGTTGGCCATTTTCTTTTTTTTTTTATTTCCCCTCTGACACCACGGCCGACCCCTGTAAATATGACACCCGGTCTGACACCACGGCCGTTGGTACTTCCGTTGCCTTTTCGAACTCGGCGCGGTTTTCTTTGCCGAGGCGATGTTTTTTTTGCCTATTCATACTCCAAGGTCACATAAACGTACTTCCCCCAAGAAAAAAAAAGAGAAATCACGCGACGGAAAAAGAGGAAGAAGAAGAAGAAAGGCAAGAAGAAGAAAGCGGGTGAAATATAATCAATGCAGCACACCACGTAGTAGACGGGGGTCGAACACGACAAGAAACGAAAAACACGGGGGTCGAACACGACAAGAAACGAAAAACACGGGGGTCGAACACGACAAGAAACGAAAAACACGGGGGTCGAACACGACAAGAAACGAAAAACACGTGTCGTAAAACCCCAAAGAAATTCAACGAGGAGAGAAGAAGCGAGACGAGAGCGCAGAGAGGACAAACAAGCGGTCTTACGAAATGCTGCGGACAAACCAACCACACCACGGGCGGTCGTCAGTTCAATCTCTGAGAGAGAGAGAGAGAGAGAGAGAGAGAGAGAGAGAGAGAGAGAGAGAGAGAGAGAGAGAGAGAGGAAGGGGAAACGGTACGGCGAACTAGATCACGCACACAATCATCACACAGATGGCGTAACTCTCCTTACTTCTCCACTGTTCATTTGCCCCACTCCTTCATCCTCAATCATTCCTCTATTGCCAGCTCCATCCAACCCCCCACGCCCTCCCCCTCTCTCTCTCTCACACACACACAGACAAATTCCACTCCCATTCATTCTCTTTTCCTCCTATCCCAGGATAATCCACTCCGCCTCTCTTCGCTCTCACACACCCATGCCCATATGGACACTCCGCTCCATTCAACTCCTATTCACTGTTGTTCTTCTCCCCCCCCCCCCCTCCTCCCTCCCCTCCCTCCCTCCCTCCCTCCCCTCCCTCTCTCTCTCTCTCTCACACACACACACACACACACACCATACAAACGCGCGCACATCCACACACAAACAGGCGCACACCCACACAAATCCTCGCACTAGCGCAAACACGTACACAACTCTTGACTGTACGGGTGCCTCAAGCATCACAACCCGCTCACCCTCTATCGTTCTGAACAAGGAAAAAAAAGGAAGGAAAGAAAAAGAAATAAGGGGATTGACAGTGAAAGAAAGAAACGACGATCCAGCGGCCTAACTCAGTTGGTAAGGCACGCAAGGGACATTCAGGAGGTCTTGGGTTCAATCCCCATTGTGAGCCATGCCTGGGCCAACTAAAAAAGTACTCCAAATTCAGTGAGCTTTCACGCTCAGAAGAACACGTGAAAAAACCTGAAAATGGGAGTACTCATAGATTTTGTTGTGATCTTTCCAGGAAAAACGCTAAATAAATCTTAAAAAATCATTCCAACTGCAAAATAGATCCCGGCCGCAATTTGGCATTCAGCCTCTCTCTCTCTCTCTCTCTCTCTCTCTCTTGTGAGCTCTTAGTCTCATTGATTTGGCTACCTTAGGGCTGCGTCCCCGCGCCCACGCGGTAGACAATGTGTGTGTGTGTGTGTCCCCTTGTGGTGCTGTGTTGTGAAAGTGGCGCATGCATCTGGTCAAGATCACTGCCGGGTGCACTGAAAATAAAGGGAAGAAGAAGAGAGACGCCCGATGCACTGAAGAAGAGAGACGTTTGACAAACCAAGAGGGAACGGGTGCCACCGTTAGGGAATGGGTGCGCCCGGCACCATTTTGATTTATCGACCAAAGGGTCTGCGTCCAGGACGTTTCAGATTCGAAAATCAAGGCCCTAATGCCACGGGCAGCTACCTGTCCTGTGCTTGCTTGAACTGCCAACCCCCCCTAAATGCCTGTGCCTTTCATTTTACCAGCCTTTCAACGACCAATGGGCCCGAATGAACGACCGGTAACGAAGGAAAAGGACGACGACGAAAAAAATGTCTCAGGGGCATAAAACGCACCCCTGACGGGCTGCGAATTCCGCTGGAGAATCCACTAGCTGGAGATAGACGGACTATCTCTCCCTCGTCCTCTCCTCCTCTTGAATTGTCTCGCCTGCTCTGAGGTTTATGACCAGACCCAGTGTCCGCGTTCGATCCTTCCTCTCCCTCCTTCTCCTCCTCCTCCCGCTCCTCCGCCTCGTCTTCCTCCCACACCATAATCGTGACTTCTCGGATGGATGCGAGCTACAGTTGCTGCGAGCTCGTTAGATGACCCACACATGCTGAGGTCACCGTCGTGGGCTCGTGTAGAGTGACTGTCCTGAGAGTAACTGAAAAAGGTAAATTCCCCTCCTCTGAGCCCGAGGAAGAAACCGAAGGGAAATCCGAACCAATCATATCCGCGTGATAACAATAGTCAGTCTCACGGTGTACTCACACTACGGTAGGGCTTTTTCCATTGCTCTCTGGACGTAATTGCAGTCAGGTGCATGCAGATCCGGCTATAGTGCGCTGCGGTCACATATATCCATGATAGAGAAAAGTCGTTAAGTGTGAATATGCCCTGAGAGTGTTACTCGGTTTGCTTGGGCGATGGTGAACCGCACTGCGACTCACTAGAATGGAAGGGTGTGTGCTTGGATTGAAAAGAAAAAACAAAAAAGGGAAAAAAGGGAAAGAAAGAAAAAAAAGAAAGGAAAAGAAGGAACAGTCAAAGGGAGGGCTAAAACCCAATCGCTATGAAGATCGAAGATCATGAAAGGCAAAAAAAAAAAAAAAAAAGCGAGCAGCAACAGAATCTTGAGACGAAACAATCAGCATGAATATAGCTGGAGAGCGCCACGTGGCGCTGTCAGCATCTTCCTGACATATTGATTTCATTGATTGCAGACCCAATCTCTTCAAAAAAAAAAAAAAAAAAAAGAGAGCCCTTGCCAATAGTTACAGACTGCAACCGATCGACGACAACCGTCTTCCCTCGAATACAACTCACCCTCATAATCATTGCATCGGACTGCACAAGGGATAGATCAGCAGATCGAACTTCAATGCCACAGTCTTCTACTGGCTATCGTCTCCCCCCGAGCACAACGCACCCTCATCATGACTGTATGAGGCCGGAAAGATAGGGGGTGCGTTGTGTTCGAGGGACGAGGACAGTCCATGGAAAGATGATAGCCGTCTCTCGCTCGATCGTTCGCTGCTCCTCCTCCTCCTCCTCCTCCTCCTCCTCTCTTTCTCCCTCCTCGTCTTTGTCGCGTCTTCTTGTGCTCCCTCCAGTAAACAATCACACCTTGGCGAACAGCCTCCTTACCCTCCTCCTCTTCCTCCTCCTCCTCCTCCTCCTCCTCTTCTTCGCCCTCGTCCTCTTGTTCTTCTTGTATTCTTACGGTAAACAATTACGCCTTGACTGACATGACATGATGAGGGTGCTCGTCCTCCCCATCCCCCTCCTCCTCCTTCTCCGTTCCCTTCTTCTTTCCCCCTCCCTCCTCCTCCTTCTCCTCCCTTGCTGGCCTTTTTAGAGTCGAGGTTTGCGGGCCTCTGACTAATTAGGTCCAAGCAACAGAGAACGGCCGACGAGCTGACAGGCTTGTAGCCTTGCGCTCGTAAGCGCTGCAACCTCCTTCGCAAAGCTTGATGCCTTCGACTATGGTGTTTGTCTGTTGGCCTAACCTAGCCCCTTCTAGCTTCGACGAAAAATATGCTCTTGGCTCGATCTCCTACACCTTATCAAGCTGCCTTTACAAACCGTCTACTCGGTCTCCTAAACATTATCGTCGTTATCGAGTTCATATAGAGACAAACAACATAAGGATAAGGATAAACTTCGTCATCGCCTTCCACCCAACACAACACATTTCACCTCATCCTGAATGCATCCGAGCTTCCTTTCTGGCCCAATACAGTCGCAGGGAAAGATTGCGCTATCTTCTGCGGAAGACGATAGTAGCTGACTCAGAGATAAAGTCATGTTAAAAAAGAAGAAAGAAGAAGAACAACAAGAACAAGAACAAGAACAAGAAGAAGAAATGAAGTCAGATTATGTCAGCTGGGCAGAAAGACTTCGACATACCGACTGTTTTGTCGGGGTCGCACCGACTCATCAGGGGGTTCAGCCTCGACATTCTGACGGAGGAGAAGCACCACCATTCTTCCCAGAGAAAACTCAAAAAA